ACTTACTTCGAACACCCTTATTTTCATTTCCTGTTTTCTTAGTTCCCGCTAGGTTTCATCTAGGCCAAGGGCCGCATTGTCCATTCGACCATCTACGCAATGTTCTACGACTAGAAGACAACTACGATACAGGACGACCCGCGCCATCGCCTACTCATCGTCGACAGCCCCGCGCACGAAACCGATTCCGCCCTTTGCAAGCGCGGCCTTCTCCATCTTTTGAAGGTCGAGGTCCATGTCGTGTAGGAGCGCTCGACGGCGAGCGATGTGAGCGCGCTCCTCGCGGATGACGCGAATGATGCCCCGAGACTCATCGTCGAGGTCGAGTGCGTCGAGATCGTCCTGTTCGAGGCCCAGGCGGCTGGCCCCATCGAGAGGCCGTCGTAGAAGGGGTCGCGGAGGCTCGTCGACTCGGCGCTTCTTCGAACCACTCGCGTCCGCGACCGAAGGCCCAGGAGAGGCCGGCCGAACTACGAAGTCGTCAGCGAAGGCCTAGGACAAGAAGAAATGACTTACTGCGCTTCTTGGTGGTAGATCCCCCGCCGCGCGTTTTCTTGGTCTTCCCAAGCACAGACACTTTGTCGAAGTAGCATCCCTGCTGGAACTGCGCGCACCTCTCACAGGTCGTAGCGTTCTCGGCCCACACGCAATCGACCGGGGCCGAGCGGTAGCCGGCGCAACGATCGCACTATCGAAGAGTTAGCTTCGAACCGACTCGACGGAGCATCGAACGTACCTTTTGTCCGGCCTGACGCTTCTCAATCGCCGCGGCGGCCATGTCGGCCTCCGTCATTGAGAACGGGCGTTCGACCGTACGCGGAGTCTTCTACGAAAGAGCGATTAGTAATCGAACGACGACAGAGAAAAGAAGACTTACGACCGAAGGGTCATCCGACAACTCAGTGACCTCCTCATCGACCCTCGCGCGCCCTTTCCCCTTGTCGACACCGGCAGGCGCGGGGTCAGAGAGAAGGCCTTCGGCGGCCGCGATCCGCGCCAACTCCTCATCGGCGGCCTCTTGCGCGCGACGTTCGTCTTCGAGGCGCCGTTCCTCTTCGTCCTTTCGACGCCGTTCGTCTTCGAGGCGACGGTCCTCGGCGGCCTTCGCACGCTTCGCGGCCTCTTCGATGCGTCGTGCTTCCTCTTCGGCGAGGCACTTCTGCTCTTCGACGCGTCGTTCGACCTCGGCGTCGATGGCGGTCGCGAGCTCGGGCCAGTCCCCGCGCGCCCACTCGACCCACGATTCCGATGCCCGCTCGGCGAGCTGCTTGACGGCGGCGGCGACGCGCAACTCCGTCTCCTCGTCGCGGATGGCGCCCAAGGCCTTGCGATAAGCGAGCTGTTCGAAAACAAACGGTTAGTTGGGTTATGCAGATTACGAAGCGACTTACGACGAGCGGCGACAAATCCTGTGCCCACTCTTCGACCATATCGAGCGCGGCGTCAGCGGTCGGTGGAGCCTCGAGGACCACGAGCAAGGAGGCGAGGCGGCGGTTGACGAGCGAGGGAGTCGACGCAGGGGTGGCAGAGCGAGCAGACATCGTAGAAGCAGCGAGTATGCGAGGAGGCGCGACGAGGTAGCGACGAAGGAACGATGGGATGGGGAAAATGAGGCTAAGTCTACCCTGCTTATAACCCCTTTCCGACCAGCGTTTAGCGCCGGCCACGTGGCGTTCGAAGTCTACACGGGTTGCCAGGCCGCTTCGATCCGTTCACGACCATCGCGCTTCTCGCATCACGTGGAGGACCGAGGGCGGTCCAAATTTCAATAGGGAGGAGATGATAGGCGCCAAGCCCCTCTGGGCCCCGATACACCTCTTTTCGGCACTCGCATCCCGCCCGGCACTTCGACTCAGTCTCCCCACAGTTCGATTTCGCCTTCGACGCTCTTCGACATCTTCGACGGTGCGCGACGCTTACTCGAAGCCCGGCACGGTCGTCCCGATGCCTCGCGCGTAGATCCCGGGACATCTTCCGCATTCGGCGAACAATAGGGCCACTTGACGCCGCTCGGCCAAGCGCGCGCTTCGCTCCAAGCCACACCGATGTAGCCGGTCTTTCCCGATTAGGTATCGAACCTCGCGGCATGCCTTCGACGACGGCTACCGGTCCGAAGTGTCCATATGTTTCTCTTCATCTCCGCGTTCGGCATGATGTCACTCTACCGATGGACTTGGTATGTGCCCCTCGGTGAGGCAGCTTCTTGAGGAACAATGCAAAGCCCCTTGTACTAGTGTGCCACTTTCGATAGTCGTAGCGTCCTGTGTAGTATAAAAACTGTCGTACTTCTCTCTAAAAAC